TTTATCACATTCATTATCTTATTCTGCTTATATATTATGTGACTTAAATTTAATATCTCTTATTTTTAACAAAATCACTAAATTATTTAGTTAATTAGTATTCTTTGTAATTTTATTGAATTATAAGAAAGCCAAAAATAAAAATAAAATAGAATATAGCAAGAACAGGAGAAGGCAAACTGGCAAAGGCACAGAGGGCGGGACGTCCCTTTTGAAGAATAAAAAAAGGGGAAAATGTTTTCAATACAAAATCCATTTTCTATTTTTCACCGTCGTCTTCCTCTCGCCGGCCTTTTCCTCTACAACTGCTAGATCTATATCTGCTCTTTCTTCAAATTAAGTTTCCCTCTCTACTGATTTCTTCTTTGATTTCCAACTCCTTCTTTCTACACCGTGTATGTGTGTGGATCGCCGGCTTTGCTTTCAATTTGGGTTTCGACACAGTTCACAGTGCATCACGCATCGAGATATGAAACTGGTGTATTAGTCTCGTAATCTGTTTGATTTAGTGCAATGGGGATTTGAATGGGTTTTGTGGAATTAGGGTTTTAAAATGGAAAAATCAATGCCGGTTTTGTAATTTTGAAAGTTCCTCGTTGTTGGGTTGGGTTGGGTTAGTAGGTTTTGGTTCGGATAATGCAGAGCTCGTCGAGCTCCATGGCGCAACCGGAGGCTATATTAGAGTGGTTACAGAAGGAGATGGGCTACAGGCCACTGGGTCCGTACAGTTCCTCCAGCAAGTCGCAGTTGCCGTCAATTGAAGCGCTTCGAAAGATTTGCAGAGGGAACATGATACCCATTTGGAACTTCTTGATTACAAGAGTGAAGTCGGAGAAAACGGTGGAGAAGATAAGGAGGAACATAACGGTACATGGTGGTGGTAGTGGTGACGACAATGCCAATTTGGTGAATTTAGGGAGAGAGGAGGGTAGAAGTAAAGGTAGAAGGAAGGAAAAGGTGGGAGAGGGTTCAGGAGCAGCAGAGAGCAGGGAGGCGGCCCTGAGGGAGAGGGAAGCCGCTGCAAAGGAAGTGGAAAGGCTGAGGAATATTTTGAGGAGGCAGAGAAAGGATCTACGAGCTAGAATGTTGGAGGTCTCAAGGGAGGAGGCTGAGCGCAAGAGAATGCTCGATGAACGGGCCAATTATAGGTTTTTTTTATCATACTTTCCTTAAGTAATCAGCTGTATTAGACTAAGCCTTGTTGTTGTGTCCATTTGGAAAAGATGAATTTGTTTCTATGACTCTACATGCTCAATATCAATATCTTTGTTCATTTGCCTAGTTTGTAACATGGCATGTTTGAACATTGATACAGAATATCAGAAATAAGGACTGAATATGAATTTAGATGATTCATGTTGATCCATACTATCTTAAGCTTCACTCAGATGATTTAAAGTACAACTAGTATGCTTAAAGAGTGAAACTAGCTGGTGTATTTTATTATATTTTCTGGTCAAATGTTTGTCCACTGCTGGAGTGTCTTCTTTATTGATTGCATGAATACACACCTTTTCATTTTTCAGGCACAAACAGCTGATGTTGGAAGCTTATGACCAACAGTGTGATGAAGCAGCAAAAATATTCACAGAGTATCATAAACGTATTCATCAATATGTTACTCAAGCTAGGGATGCTCAAACGTCGTGTGTCAACTCTTCTGTTGAACTGGCAAACAGCTCCACTGCAGCCAGTGAAAAAGAAGCTGTATATTCAACTGTTAAGGGTGCTAAATCTGCCGATGATGTCATTCTTATTGAAACTACAAGGGAAAGAAATATCCGGAAGGCATGTGAATCTCTTGCAGAAAGAATGACAGAAATAATTCGTACTTCTTTTCCTGCTTATGAAGGAAGTGGTATCCATTCAAGTCCTCAATTGGAAGCTGCCAAGTTAGGCTTTGATTTTGACAGTGAGATTCCTAATGAAGTTAGGACAGTCATCATAAAATGTCTCAAGAGTCCTCCTCAATTGCTTCAGGCAATTACTGCACACACAGTACGTCTGAAAACTTTGATATGCAGAGAAATAGAGAAAATTGATGTTAAAGCTGATGCTGAAACCCTAAGGTATGATTTGCTTTCTTTCACATACTGTTCTCATAGTATTTCTGACCTCCCTTTCTCATTTCTTCCCATATTTTAGCCAGCTATTATTGTACACTTAGAAATAATGTAGCACTTTTTTCTGCTAATTGCTGTTTTTTATTATTCTAGATTTCACTTTTGTTTTCTTGAATCTATTCAATCCATATCTAATTATCTATTGTCATATTTGTTAACAGTTTTTGCATAGAAAAAATAGTTCCAACCAAGGTATTGGTTTGGTTCTGATTATTACTATGCCTATGAGCTTCCCTTATTAAATTAAAATAATTTAATATCTTCATCAGGTACAAGTTTGAGAACAACAGAGTAATGGATATCTCTTCTCCAGATGTGAGCTCAGCAATAAATTATCAACTCTATGGTGATGGGAAGATAGGAATGGATGTACCTTCAAGAGGAACTCAAAATCAACTTCTCGAAAGACAGGTATTCCTTTTTCTCTCTCTCTCTCTCTCTCTCTCTTCTTTTTTTTTTTTCCAGATAATTGTTTCTACATAAAAAATTTGCCTTGTCCCATTCCTTCCTCCCTCTTTTGATGCCCATATTATTGCTAACTATGATTAAGATAAGGGGTTTGCGTATCTTAGTTTAAGTTTGTTAATCCTTTTTTTGTTGCATGTTGGTTTTTTGCAGTCATTTCTTTCTCAGTTGCTTGTTGAACTTATATGTTTGATTACAGAAAGCGCATGTTCAACAATTTTTAGCAACTGAAGATGCACTGAACAAAGCTGCAGAAGCTAGGGGCTTGTCTCAAAACCTTATAAAACGTTTGCATGGAAGTGGTGATGCAGTTTCTTCACACTCACTTGTTGGAGGCACTGCACAAAATGTTGGCAGTCTTAGGCAGTTCGAGGTAATTCCTTAGATATCTTATGGCAATCAGAATATTGTTTTTTTTTTTTTTTTTGATAAATTATTATTATTTTCATTTCATTTTGAGATAGTCTTATCTCCTTTCTTTAACCTTCTTTCTTGAATGTTCATAATCTAGTGCTAATACAATATAACAACAAATGTGGCAACAAATTGCAAATGGTTTTGATACCAGGTCAAAACATTCACCCTAAAACCAATTCATGATAGATAGCTGGAAAAGGCCAACTTGAATATAAGGCTACCGCTGACACTAAACTTAATCCATGTAGGATAACTGTCACTAATCAACAAATATATAGGTGGTCTTGATCACTGTCCTTTATGAATAATGCCTGTGTCATTTCCAATTTCATTTATTTTATTTGAACACTCACTGCAAATAACATCCGTCAATTTTTCAAAGAGTGCTGAAATGTGTTGCTTTATGTGCTCTTGCAGTTGGAGGTCTGGGGCAAGGAGAGAGAAGCAGCTGGATTAAGGGCAAGCTTAAATACACTGATGTCTGAAATAAAACGCTTGAATAAATTGTGTGCAGAGAGGAAAGAAGCTGAAGATTCTTTAAGAAAGAAGTGGAAGAAGATTGAAGAGTTTGATGCTCGCAGATCTGAACTTGAAACAATATACACAGCTCTTCTCAAGGCTAACATGGTAAGGTACTCCACCCATTATGTTTTCTGTGAACTCCAGCAATGTACTGTGGATTAGGAACCATACATTGCTGTGCACTAATCTGCTAAACTCTTAGGCTTTAGCAATAAGGGCTTTCTGCCTTCCTGAATGCTTTCACCAACACCCTTTTGGATTCCTTTGATGCTTTTTTATAGCTCAAATAAGTGATATAAATAAATAATATTAAAATAGTAAAAACTCTTATCCATGACTTGCAACAATAGTTTTTGAAGTGGGGGAATTTGTTACATAATTTGTTTTCTTGACAGTGATTCCTGTTTTTTGTTGCTTTGACAATGTTTTTCATCATGCTTTATATAAGTTAAGGTCAAAACCTATCTTATTCATTTTGTTTTGTAGGATGCAGCTGCATTCTGGAATCAGCAGCCATTAGCTGCAAGGGAGTTTGCTTCCAGCACTATCATTCCAGCATGTAATGTTGTTGCAGATATTTCAAATAATGCAAAAGATCTTATTGATAAAGAAGTTTCTGCATTTTATCAAAGTCCCGATAATAGCCTCTATATGCTTCCATCAACGCCACAGGTTTGTGAGACTGCTGTATTAGATGTTATTTTTGTTGTTGGCTTGTTGCTGTTGTCATGTGCTGGTTTGTTTCTTATTCAGTGTGTGAAGTTTGCATATTAAATATGCATGAGTCAGTTGTTTTGTGTCATTTCTTTCCTATCAGGCACTTCTGGAGTCCATGGGTGCTAATGGATCCACGGGACCCGAAGCTGTTGCTGCAGCAGAGAAGAATGCTGCTTTGTTGACTGCAAGAGCTGGTGCTAGAGATCCATCGGCAATTCCATCCATATGCCGTGTTTCTGCTGCCCTTCAGTACCCTGCTGGTGAGTTTTTATGCAGATTTGGACCTTGATAAGAGAAATGCCTGCATATTTGATTTTGCTTGATTGCAATTTATCCTACCAGCGTGTGCATATAATACCTGTTGGCATATACCAGTGAGGATATACTCTGTTCACCAAGGCTTTTGTTGGCTAAATGAGGTTCTCATGCAAAATTAGTGGCCATACCAACAAAGGGAATTATATGCTTTGCTGTGTGATAACAGCAGTTTTATTGAGGCAGTCTTCCATCTTCAGAACATGGTTATCTTTATTGAAATTAATAGGATATTATAGAAATGTATGACCTGACCACCTGGAATGGAAAATAATAAACAAATAAAGGAAAGAAGTTCTTTTATTAGACAAAGGTTGAAATTTGTTGGTGTTTATGTGCTGACATTGACTTTCATGTCATTTTACCCTGCTGTTTGTGATGTTAAAAAATGACAGGACTGGTATGTTTTACTTTGAAGTCTGCTTGGTTCTCCTTTATGATTTATTGTCATGCTTTGAGTGGCCTTGAATGCTGCTTTGATCAGTGGTTATCTTTTGTGCTTTTAAGCATGAACATTTATTATGTGCACTTTTTGGTTAGGTTTGGAAGGTTCAGATTCTGGTCTTGCATCAGTATTGGAATCTCTGGAGTTCTGTCTGAAACTTCGTGGTTCTGAGGCTAGTGTGCTGGAGGAACTAGCAAAGGCTATCAACTTGGTCCATGTCCGGTCAGATCTTGTGGAAAGTGGTCATGCACTGTTGAAACATGCTTACCGTGCCCAACAAGAAAATGCAAGGTACATTGTTTTCTGTAACTTCTTTGCATGTTCATTTCTCTTAAAATATCTGTTAGGTTTCTTTCTCTCATTCATGATTGTGTCCACATGAACTGTCCTATTTAAAAAAGCTGAATCATTAATCTCTAAAGGTTGGGAGCATTTGTAAGAAAAAAAACTTAGGAAAAAGAAGAAAAATGGGTAATGTGAATTAACAATTAAGTAATTATCTTCTCTTTTTTTTTCTTTTTTTTTTTGTGAAAATTGACACATTCTGGGACTGATAAAAGGTAAACAAAGAAAACTATATTGGATCTGAGTTATTGTTTGATTACCTCATGGTGCAGGACAACAAATTATTGTTTGAGTCTGGCTGCTGAGCAAGAGAAAATTGTAATGGAAAGATGGCTTCCTGAACTTAAAACTGCAGTTTTGAATGCTCAAAAGTCCTTGGAAGACTGCAAATATGTTAGGGGTTTGGTGAGTATTGGCAGGTGGTCTATCTTGGTTTTATGGGTGTTCCTCTCAATTTGGGTGAAGTTCCTCCCATGTGTTGGTTTCCTGCACTTATTTATTCTTAATATTACATCTGAACTGAACATTCTACTGCAGCTTGATGAATGGTGGGAGCAACCCGCTTCAACTGTGGTAGACTGGGTTACAGTTGATGGGCAAAATGTTGCTGCTTGGCATAATCATGTGAAGCAACTTCTTGCATTTTATGATAAGGAGGTCTTGTGAGGACAGAATTTGGTCATTATGATGCTGCGGAAAGTGTCTCAAATTTACCTTGGCCCACATACATGCAGACATCTTAACACTTTCTAGTCAGGGTAGAAGATTATCAACCCCTGCAGCCTTACTCAGCGTTTCAGAGTAATATACACTCTTGGTGGTCTAAGTGAATGAGTTGCTTGATAATTGTTTTAAACTGGCTTGCGGTTGGAAAAACAAGGTCCGGATGCACTGGAAGCATTCATTGAGGATAGGTACACTTTTCTGTTGGGAAGCTTGTGAGGTGTCCTGGGTTGAGCTGTTGAGGTACGGCTTGATTTGATCTTTCCTCCTATTGCCTATTAATTTTGTATAAAAATGGTTTTGGCTTTAATAATCTCTTTGTATAATAGGTGATCATTTTGGTTCATTGTTACAAAGGTTTCGGTCTATTGTATTTCTGCTATGTTGTTTGAGGCTTGATGGAATGCCATTGAAGGGTTCTCTGAACTCGAGATTTCTGTTTGTAGTTCTATTCATCTACTTTTGGCATGCTCTAATTGAATTGACATCAGTTTGTTGCTAAACCTTCAATGTACCTAAAACAAAAAAAAAAAAGAAAAAAAGCTTTAAAAACCTTGATTTGGAGTCAAGGTTAAAAGACTCAAACTTTTGTAATGTCAAGAACTTGAACTTTAATGTATCAGGAATTTTTTTTTAAAAAAGAAAGAATCAGTTTGTTGCAACCAAGTTCATGTGAGTATAAGCTCTGTCAATTGTTGAAAAGTCGCATCAGATCGGCCTTCTTGTAATGTTGCTTAGTGTAATTCATTCACACCTTGCTAAATACTCTGTAGGCTGAACTCAGGTCCGTGAAGACATGTGACATGTACCTCGAATCTTTTCAGTTAACACCCGTGAAAGGAAAAGGATTGTCTAGAATTAGATGAAGCTATCACTTACTACAACATTAATTCCTTCTCTATTGCACTTTTGTCAACTTCTTTTTCTTTTCTTTTTCCTTTATGAATAAAACTTTATTATGTAACGAGCTTGTAATTCAATTAATAAGGTGTTTATTCTAACTCTATGTGTTGAGTTAAAATTTGGAATTCCTCACCTTGCGAGAACAATTGAAAGTTCTGCAATGTTCTGGCTACACTTCAATCTGCAGGGTCTAGAAACAATTTATCTGACACAAAATCCCAAGTAGACGGTTTGATACTTCTTGCAACAATGATTGTCTTTACCGTATTTTTTTAGAAACCAGGAAAAGGTACAATGTAGGATGCCAGATAACCGACATCCTCAAGTTTCCAAGCGTCTAGTTTTTGTTGTTGGTTTTACATGATTGTCAGTTGATGTTATTGTGGGCCTCGGGGCACAAAAAAACTTGTGTCTGCACTCCATGTCTCGTGAACCAACAGGAATCCAGCCTTTCGCCAATTCTGTAATTTCATACCAACAAAAGAACCAATTCAATTAATGAAAACTGTAGCAAAACCAGCGAAGCAAAAATACAAGCACATGAGTCACTTCTGCCTCCATCCCTTCCCCTAAATTACCTTGCCCTTTTGAGCTGCTTTGTGGTGGAAATTAAACATAAATTCACAGCTTCTACTTTTCAGTTCACTTGTTTCTGCATGAATCATATAAAGAGACCTTGGTGGGTCAGTCTATAAAACTTCGATGTTATAGCTCTCCAAGAACTTCAACTTAATCCTATTCAGAATCAAAGAGAGCTTGAAAATGTCTTGGTTTTCTGTAATCTTGTTCCTGAGTTTCACGTTTAGTACTCTATCTGAGGCTGGACATCCTGGGAAGGATCCATCTGCAATTGTTGTTGGAACTGTTTACTGTGATACTTGTTTCCAACAGGGTTTCTCTAGAAACAGTCACTTTATTCCAGGTTCATTTTCAAAGCTTTCTGTTTTAGGAACTTCAAATTTCCTAGGCTTCTGTCCCTAATGTTTGTATGTGCAGGTGCATCTGTTTTAGTGGAATGCAAAGATGGGAATTTGAAGGAGGGTTTCCGTAAAGAAGTGAAAACAGATGAGCATGGAGAATTTAGGGTTGATTTGCCTTTCACTGTAAGCAAACATATCAAGAGAATCAAGGGATGTTCAGTGAAACTGATAAACAGCAGTGAGCCTTACTGTGCTGTGGCCTCATCGGCTACTTCATCTTCACTCCATCTCAAGTCAAGGAAGGAAGGAATTCACATATTCTCAGCTGGCTTTTTCACTTTCAAGCCTTTGCAGCAACCTATCCTCTGTAACCAGAAACCAAGTGTTCAATATTCGAGCAAATTCAACAACAGAAAAACCAGTATTGGCAGTAGTGATGAACTTGCATTCCCACCTCCAATTCAGGGCCCAACAGCGCCAAAATTCCCTCCACTTCCTATTCTTCCCATACTCCCACCATTGCCTCAACTCCCTCCTCTGCCACCCCTTCCAGGGGTTCCCAACCTTCCACCATTGCCTGGAAAGAGAACTCAGTCATCAGATCAAAAGGCAGTCCACCCTCAGTTTTTCTTTCCCCCAGTTTTGCCACCAAACCCACTTAAGCCTCCGCCACTTCTTCCTCCAAATCCACTCCAGCCCCCTGCTCCCCTTCTTCCTCCTAACCCCCTCCAGCCCCCTGCTCCCCTTCTTCCTCCTAACCCCCTCCAGCCCCCT